CTGGAATGAGAACTAAAATCCCACAAGTCTAGAGAAGGAAATGGCAATCCACTCCAGTACTCTTGCCTGGAGAATCCCTTGGACAGAAGAGCCTGGCCGGCCACAGTCCGTGGGGTCGAAGAGTCAGACATGACTGAGCAACTGACACACACACAAAATTGAGCAGATACTTGATGGCACAAGTGTATACTTTATCTACTCTCCCATTTCCCTCAGGAAGCAGGATGGGGCAGGCAGGACACAGGATGGGGCAGGCAGGATCTGGGAGGCAGGATGGCTCGGCCCCCATTCCCTCCATCCCTCCTGGAAGTCTTGGACCCTCAGTGCCTGCAACAGCTGGCCTTGGGCAAATGAAAGACTAAGTTGTTTACTGGCAAAAAAAAAATCCCACAAGTCGAGGGATGGGGTAGGGGAGGAGACTTAGTCTATCCATCTCTTCACTGTTCTTTCCTCTGGATTTTCTTCACTCTCCAGAAGGCAGGTGACAATATGCCACCAGCGACTGCAGCAGCACAACCACATCAGGGATTCTTTGACCTCAGAGCTCCAAAAACAAGAACCAGAAATAGATTCCCATGGGACTGGCCTAGATCAAGGGGCCATCGCTGAATCAAACAACAGAGACCAGAGGGATGGAGGCTTTTAAAAATAAGACTTCAGTGGAGATCCCACCTGAGAGACAGAGGTGATGGCTTTGACAGGAGGAGGATTTGATAAACAGACACTGACAAGAAGACTCTATACATGGACATCACCAGATGGTCAATACCAAAATCAGATTGATTATATTCTTCGAAGTCAAAGATAGAGAAGCTCTATACAGTCAGCAAAAATAAGACTGGGAGCAGACTGTGGCTCAGATCATGAACTCTTTATTACAAAATTCAGACTTAAATTGAAGAAAGTAGGGAAAACCACTAGACCATTCAGTTCAGTTAAGTTCAGTCACTCAGTCGTGTCTGACTCTTTGCGACCCCATCGACTGCAGCACGCCAGACCTCCCTGTCCATCACCAACTCCTGGAGTTTACCCAAACTCATGTCCATTGAGTCGGTGATGCCATCCAACCATCTCATCTTTTGTCGTCCCCTTCTCCTCCTGCCCTCAATCTTTCCCAGCATCGGGGTATTTGCCAGTAAGTCAGTTCTTCACATCAGGTGGCCAAAGTATTGGAGTTTCAGCTTCAACATCAGTCCTTCCAGTGAACATTCAGGATTAATTTCCTTTAGGATGGACTGGTTGGATCTCCTTGCAGTCCAAGGGACTCTCAAGAGTCTTCTCCAACACCACAGTTCAAAAACATCAGATCTTCGGCACTCAGCTTTCTTTACAATCCAACTCTCACATCCATACACGACTACTGGAAAAACCATAGCCTTGACTAGATGGATCTTTGTTGGCAAAGTAATGTCTCTGCTTTTTAATATGCTGTCTAGGTTGGTCATAACTTTCCTTCCAAGGAGTAAGCATCTTTTTATTTCATGGCTGCAGTCACCATCTGCAGTGATTTTGGAGTCCAGAAAATAAAATCTCTCACTGTTTCCACTGTTTCTCCATTTATTTCCCATGAAGTGATGGGACCAGATGCCATGATCTTTGTTTTCTGAATGAAAAAGCTTTAAGTTAACTTTTTCACTCTTCTCTTTCAATTCTATCAAGAGGCTCTTTAGTTCTTCTTCACTTTCTGCCATAAGGGTGGTGTCATCTGCATATCTGAGGTTATGGATATTTCTCCCAGCAGTCTTGATTCCAGCTTGTGCTTCATCCAGCCCAGCATTTCTCATGATGTACTCTGCATATAAGTTAAATAAGCAGGGTGACAATATATAGCCTTGACGTACTCCTTTTCCTATTTGGAACCAGTCTGTTGTTCCATGTCCAGTTCTAACTGTTGCTTCCTGACCTGCATGCAGATTTCTCAAGAGGCAGGTCAGGTAGTCTGGTGTTCCCATCTCTTTCAGAATTTTATACAGTTTATTGTGACCCACAATAAACTTTGGCTTTGGCATAGTCAATAAAGCAGAAATGGATGTTTTTCTGGAACTCTTGCTTTTTTGATGATCCAGCAGATGTTGGCAATTTGATCTCTGGTTCCTCTGCCTTTTCTAAAACCAGCTTGAACATCTGGAAGTTCATGGTTCACGTACTGTTGAAGTCTGGCTTGGAGAATTTTGAACATTACATTCCTAGTATGTGAGATAAGTGCAATTGTGCGGTAGTTTGAGCATTCTTTGGCAATGGACAATGCCAAAGAATGCCAAAGACCATTAAGGTATGACCTAAATCAAACCACTCACGATTATACTGTGGAAGTGACAAATAGATTCAAGGAATTAGATCTGATAGAGTCCCTAAAGAACTATGGACAAAGGTTTGTGACATTGTACAGGAGGCAGTGTTTAAGACCATCCCCAAGAAAAAGAAAAGGCAAAATGATTGTCTGAGGAGGGCTTACAAATAGCTGAGAAAAGAAGAGAAGTTAAAGGCAAAGGAGAAAAGGAAAGATATACTCATTTGAATGCAGAGTTCCAGTGATTAGCTAGGAGAGATGAGAAAGCCTTCCTCAGTGATCAAGGCAAAGAAACAGGAAAACAATAGAATGTTTTGTTTGGGAAAGACTAGAGATCTCTTCAAGAAAATTAGAGATACCAAGGAAACATTTCTTGCAAAGAGGGGCACAATAAAGGATAGAAATGGTATGGACCTAACAGAAGCAGAAGATATTAAGAAGAGGTGGCAGGAATACGCAGAAGAACTATACAAAAAAGATCTTCATGACCCAGATAACCATGATGGTGTCATCACTCACCTAGAGCCAGACATACTGGAATGTGAAGTCAAGTGGGCCTTACGAAGCATCACTACAAACAAAGCTAGTGGAGGTGATGGAATTCCAGTTGAGTTATTTCAAATCTTAAAAGATGATGCTGTGAAAGTACTGCACTCAAAATGCCAGCAAATTTGGAAAACTCAGCAGTGGCCACAGGACTGGAAAAGGTCAGTTTTCATTCCAATCCCAAAGAAAGGCAATGCCAAAGAAAGTTCAAATTACCTCACAATTGCACTCATGTCACATGCTAGCAAAGTAATGCTCAAAATTCTCCAAGCCAGGCTTCAACAGTATGTGAACTGTGAACCTCCAGATGTTCAAGCTGGATTTAGAAAAGGCAGAGGAAGCAGAGATCAAGTTGCCAACATCCACTGGATCATCAAAAAAAGCAAGAGAGTTCCAGAAAAATATCTACTTCTGCTTTATTGACTATGCCAAATCTTTTGACAGTGTGGATCACAACAAACTGTGCAAAATTCTTCAAGAGATGGGAATATCAGACCATCTTATCTGCCGCCTAAGAAATATGGATGCAGGTTAAGAAACAAGAGTTAGAACTGGTCATCGAACAACAGACTGGTTCCAAATCGGGAAAGGAGTATGTCAAGGCTGTATATTGTCACCCTACTTATTTAACTTACATGCAAAGTACATCATGAGAAATCCTGGGCTGGATGAGCACAAGCTAGAATCAAGATTGCCAGGAGAAATATCAATAACTCAGATATGCAAATGACACCATCCTTATGGTAGAAAGCAAAGAAGAACTAAACATCCTCTTGATGAAAGTGAAAGAAGAGAGTGAAAAAGTTGGCTTAAAACTCAACATTCAGAAAACAAAGATCATGGCATCTGGTCCCATCACTTCATGGCAAATAGGTGGGGAAACAGTGGAAACAGTGAGAGATTTTATTTTAGGTGGCTCCAAAATCACTGCAGATGGTGACTGCAGCCATGAAATTAAAAGACACTTGCTCCGTGGAAGAAAAGCTATGATCAACCTAGACAGCATATTAAAAAGCAGAGACATTACTTTGCCAACAAAGGTCCATCTAGTCAAGGCTATGGTTTTTCCAGTAGTCAGGTATTGATGTGAGAGTTGGACTATAATGAAAGCTGAGTGCCAAAGAATTGATGCTTTTGTACTGTGGTGTTGGAGCAGACTCTTGAGATTCCCTTGGATTGCAAGGAGATCAAGCCAGTCAATCCTAAAGGAATAAGTCCTGAATGTTCATTGGAAGGACTGATGCTGAAGCTGAAGCTGATACTTTGGCCACCTGATGTGAAGAACTGACTTACTGGAAAAGACCCTGATGCTGGGAAAGATTGAGGGCAGGAGGAGAAGGGGACGACAAAAGATGAGATGGTTGGATGGCATCACTGACTCAATGGACATGAGTCTGAGCAAGCTCCAGGAGTTGGTGATGGACAGGGAAGCCTGGCGTGCTGCAGTCCATGGGGTCACAGAGTCAGACACGACTGAGGGACTGAAGTGAACTGACAAGAAGAAACAAAAAAATCACCACCATCTTCTTGGTTTCTTTCCGGGAGGAAGCTTCTCTGTGGGGCTAAGAAGCAAGGAAGCCACCACACATTGGCCTAGTGTGTTCTTTGTTACAAAATGCCTCTCACCCTCACCTTGACCCCTTTTATTCTGGCTGCACCACATAGCATGCAGGATCATAGTTCCCCAACCAGGGCTCGAACCCGGGCCCCTGGCAGTGAGAGTGCAGAGTCCTAACCACCAGACCACCAGGGAATTCCCTATTTAATCCTCACCACCAGCCCAATAGTCCAGGAGCATCACTATGCCCTTTATACAGACAAGACAACTGAGCTTTAGAGACATCACGGGGTTTTGGGTAAGTCACAAAGCAGGTAAGGAGCTGACAGAGCGTCTGTGGTGAGGTGTGTGCAGAAGAGGAAGAACATACTGACTCCATGCAACTTCCTCTGTGGGTCAGCCTCCCCCAGCTCATCCACCACATCTTCCCCTTGGCCTGCATCTCTGCAGCAGCCCCATGTCTCCTGCCCCTGTCCTTTATCATCAGCTGCTGCCAGCTTCGCCACACCTCCTCCCCGACCTTTGCTCCTGGCTTGTTTTTTCCTCTGGCCCGGGGAACCTTGGGTTCACTTTCACTCACCGCCTGTCCTTGCCGAGAGCCTCACCATGTGCACCGGAAAGTGTGCCCGCTTCGTGGGGCTGTCTCTCATCCCCCTCTCCCTGATCTGCATTGTGGCCAACGCCCTCCTGCTGGTGCCCAACGGGCAGACCACCTGGACCAAGGACCACCTCAGCTTGCAAGTCTGGCTCATGGCTGGCTTTGTTGGCGGGGGCCTGATGGTGAGAGGGCTGGCCGGGGCGCACAGGCCATGGGAGGGGGCACCACTCTCTGGGGTCCTGACCAGGAGCAGGAGGGAGTGAGAGGAAAGGATGGTGGTGGCTTGGTGGGGACCGGGAGCCCGCCCAGCCTGCCCCCAAATGCTAAGCACTGCATAGGGCTGATGCTCAACCCCAGGGTCCTGAGTTGAATGTCTGAGGGGAACGAGAATGAAGGAGCCTCACTGCTCTCAAGTTTTTTCCTCCTGGGTAGGGAGTATGTCCTCCCAGCCCCTCCCTGTCCCCACTGCTGAGCAGATGCTGGGAACATCTCATGATAAGGGTTGAGACAGAAGGAACAGCTGGTTCTCTGGGAGGTTATCGGGTTAAGATAATAATGGGCTCAGTGTGTGTGTGTGTGGGTGGGGGGGGAGGTTTACAGTGATAGTATAGTGTCTGGAGCCAAGTAGTGATGTCGCAGATCAGTCATTCTACCTATCAGCTCAGTGTCAGCTCCTCCACCTCCCTGTCCAACATTTCTGGATGCCCACCACGCGCTGGGCACTAACGATGAACTCAGAACCTAGGTCAGTGTGGTGGAGAAGGGGTCCCCGTTGCTTCCTGGAGACCAGGACCTGTCAGGAGAAGTCGGGGGAGGGGAGACACAGACTTCTTAACCCCTATTTGCCAACCCCTCCCTGTGTAAGGGAACTTTTTTGTTTGTGCTCCGCACGGCATGCGGGATCTTAGTTCCCCGACCAGGGATTGAACCCGTGCTCCCTGTAGTGGAAGCACAGAGTCTTAACCATTGGACCACCAGGGAAGCTCCAACGGAACCTTTTCGGACTGTCAAGTGAGTTGAACATCTTTATAGCCTGAAGGCAAAAGATTTATCCCCCACACTGTTCCCCACATCTCAGGAGGGCTGACTGATGAAATTCTCTAGGGGAGTGCTTCATCTTTGTTTCTTTTGCTGACCACAGCTCCGTTCACTAAATGGGGAACACCTCTTCTCTTTTATACAACAATCCCCTCTTACCAGGGCTTCCCTGTTGGCACAGATGATAAAGAATCCGCCCGAAATGAGGGAGACCTAGGTTGGGAATATCCCCTGAAGAAGAGCTTAGCAACCCATTCCAGTATTCTTGCCTGGAGAATTCCCACGGATAGAGGAGCGTGGGGGGCTACAGCCCGTGGGGTCACAAAGAGTCGGACGTGACTGAGCGACTAAGCACCCCTCTCACCCTCTGCCCTGGGGCCTTTTCTCCTACTCTCCCTCTCGCATGGATTTATGGCAGTTGGACTCCACTCCATACCTCTGACCTCAACCCTCTCCAAGACATCACACTCCTTCCAGCCCTACTCACTCACTCCCTGTCATATCACACCCCTTTGCCAGCCCAAACCAACACCACCTCCCCACAATCTCACCAGCCTGCTTCTGGGAAGCAGGTGAGATGAGTGGTGGGCAGAGGCCAGAGCATCTACACCCCCGAAAAAGCACAGTGAGGAATTTGAATTTTATTATAAGTGCACAGTAAACTACTGAAGGACTTTTTAGCTTTTTAAAAGTCATACAGATAACTTCCAAGATCCTTAATATACAGTTCAGTGAATTTTTATAGAGGGGACACATTTATTTTCTGGGCACTTAGATCACGATCTGGGTCATTACAAGAATCCCAGACAGGCCTTCCACCAGGCCCTACTCCACACTGCCAAGGGCCCCACTATCCTGACTTCTACCCCAGAGGTTAGATTTGTCTGTTTAACACTTTATATAAATGGAATCCTACACCCTGGACACTTTTGTTCTGACTTCTTCAGATTAAAATTACATATTAGTACACATTCATATAAGTACATATTAGTACATATTCATATTAGTACATATTAGTACACATTCATATTAGTACATATTAGTACATATTCATATTAGTACACAATGCTGTAGTTTATTATTTCTTATGCATTTCATTGTGTAAATATTACCACAATTTATTTAAACATTCTACTGTTGACAGATATTTGGATAGTTCCAAACTTGGATTTATTCCAAATAATGTTCTCTAAACATCCTTGCAAATGTCTTTAGGTGAATGTATGTTTGCATGTCTATTGGATAGATGACCTACAGAATAAAACTGCTGAGTCTTAAGCTATGCAAATATTCAGTGCTAATAGATATCACCAAAGAGTTGTCTGAAGTACTTATAACAATTGTATTCCCATCAGTAAAGTATGAGAGTTCTAATTGCTCCATATCCTGTTGGATATGGCTGGCTGCTGGGTGGACAGTGGACAGTAGGAGGTCAGCAGTGGCTGCAGGAAGACCAACTGAGGTCACTACAGTTGTCCAGGAGAGATAACAGTGGCTTGGACAAGTCCAGTGGAGAAGATGGAGAAAAGTAAACAGACCCAAGCTATAAGCTCAGTGCTTCCTCCTGCTTCTTCAATTACCTCTTTTCATTGAGACAAAGAGAGAGCAGAGAGTGAGACAGGAGCTCAGAGAACAAAAGGAAACAAATACTTTGGCTAAAAAAGCAAAAATTAGGGACTTCCTTGGTGGTCCAGTGACTAAGACTCTGTGCTCTCAAAGCATGGGGCCCAGGTCCAATCCCCAGTCAGGGAGCTAGATCCCATATGCCACAACTAAAGAGTTACATGCTGCAGCTAAAGATCCTGCATGCTGCAAGTAAGACCTGGCATGCATGCTAAGTCACTCAGTCATGTCCAACTCTTCATGACCCTATGGACTGTAGCCCACCAGGCTCCTCTGTCCATAGGGTTCTCCAGGCAAGAATACTGGAGTGGGTTGCCAGGCCCTCCTCCAGGGAATCTTCCAGATTCAGGGGTTAAACCCATGTCTCTTACAGTCTCCTGCATTGACAGGCAGGTTCTTTACCACTACTGCCACCTGGGAAGCCCAAGACTTGATGCAGCCAAATAAATAAATACACAAACTTTTAAAAAATCACAAACAAGGAGGTCATTTGAAGTTGGTAAATCCAAAAGATAAATCCAGGTGTCTCTGGGTTCAAGAGCCTCCAAGTAAGTGATATAACAGGAGGGCTAAGCAAGGGGGCTAGCTCTGGCCCCAGACCTGCCATGAGACAAGGAAGAGGGAAGAGGGTCTAGAGGAAAGTTCACTCAACTCTGCAGGTGTTTCTGTAAGGTTGCTGCGAATGATGTAATGGAACTAAAGCTCTCAGCCTCTCCCTTGGAGAAGACCCAAATGTTGCCTTATTGGTGTGAGATGATCAAGGAAAACAAGGAGGCAAAGATCCAGACACCTGCAGAATTATAGAGATGGGAGATAAGTAAAGAACCTGGTTGGGTGCAACAAAGCTAAGGCTGAAGCCAAAGTGAGGGCGCCTCAGACACCTTCATAGAGTTCAGTCTTGACAGGCGACTCTTTGAGGATACTCTCAGGGATTGGATCAGGGAAAAGATCAATTGAAAGCTAAGTTTAATCTGGTGGCAGCAGAACTTCCCTGGTGGTGCAGTGGCTAAGACTCTTCACTCCCAATGCAGGGGAAGCGGGTTTGATCCTTGCTGGGATCAAGCTGAAACTAAAGATTCTGCATGCGGCAGCAAAGATCAAAGATCCGTTTGCTGAAACTAAGACCCATTGCAGTCAAAAAAAAAAAGAATCTGGTAATAGCAATGTAGGATTGAGTATGGGCACAGGGCAAGAGATATGGAAACCCAATAGGGAGAACGAGCACATCCTTCTTGTGGGAGGTGACTGGGGACGGACTGGGTGGAATAAAGGACTGACAGATTCAGGAGCCACTGAAGGACTTAAGGTCTGGCTCGGTATGGAGGATTCAAGTTTTTAGGACTGGTTGACCTGGAGGATATTTCCACTGACAGAGACAAGAAAGCCAAAGGGAGATGAATTTTGGGGGGAATAAACTGTGAAGTCAGTATGAGGTTGGATGAACTTGAGTTAAAACCAAGACATACAAATGAACAGACCCTTCAGGCAATCAGATCCGAATTTGAAGGTATTGATTTAGGAGACAACTATTGTTAGAAGCAGCAGCTGACACCCTGGGAGGGGGTGGGCTCTCTGAGGAAGACCACAGGAGAAAGACAGGGTTATATCTTGACGATTCTCACCCTTCCCATCAGTCTTCATTTACATACTCCTCCACCCTCCATCATAATCCCAGTTCACCAGACACTCCAACACCACTATTCCTTCCTGCTGCCAAGAGACTTTATACTTATTGACCATTTATTCTGAGTTAGTCTTCACATCAAGTCAACCTGTTATTTCATTAAATCCTGACAACAGCCACGGGAGGCACGCAGACCCATTTTACAGAGGACAAAACTGAGACCCAGAGAGATGAATCAATTCATGGAGTGTGAAATGAGCACAAGTTTGGCATTAAACCCAGGCTTCCTGATTCCCATTCACTTGGGAACCTACTATATACTGAGATTTATGGGGGATATAAGGATACTGGGGCCCTACCCTCCTGGAGGCTACAATCTGGACAGAGATAAGTAGGCACATGAATACAGATAAACTTAAAGCAGAGCCCGACAGTGTTGCAGGAGAAGCAATATACGGAGATAAGGTCTCCCTATAGTTCAAAGGCATCACAGGAAGCTTCCAGGAGGAGGTAAGCAATCATGCCAAGTTGGGGACTTGCTGGCCTTGCTATTACATCGACTCTCCTCCAATAGGTACTTTGTCCGGGAATTTCCGCCGTCCGGGCCGGGGGCAAAGGCTGTTGCGGTGCAGGCTGCTGTGGAAATCGCTGCAGGGTAAGATCCAAATTAAGATGGGGCTTAAGGGACTGACTTTCTTGGTGGTCTAGTGGTTAAGACTCTGTGCTCCTAACACAGGGGGCCCTGGTTTGATCCTTGGGGGGAGGGGGGGGATAAGATCCCATCATGCCATAGGATGCAACTTTAAAAAACTAGTAAATTTTTAAAATAATAATAATAAAGACAGGATTCAGCTTAGGTCTTTGAACCGGTCTTCGAAGAACCACATCTAAAGCCATGGTCCCTCTACTGAATTCCCATTTTCACGAGTACATCTCATCCCTCCCTCGCAGCGACAAATATTAGGCTTCAGTGGGTCTGACCAGAGGGGACTACAACCCCCTGAAAACTCCATGGCCACCGCCTCTTAGGATTAAGCGGAACTCCAGCCCCGGGGTTTGACGGGAAGTGTATTTTTTACGACACTGGAACAGATGGGGGGCGGGGGCGGGGCCAGGAGCAGTTTGCCCACGAGTAGGTAGGGGACGGTCCAACACACCTCTCCTCGCACTGTGCCTGTAGATGCTGCGCTCAGTCTTCTGCTCAGCTATCGGGTTGCTTGGCGCCATCTACTGCCTCTCGGTCTCGGGAACCGGGCTCCGAATTGGACCACAGTGCTTAATGAACGGCTCCTGGGATTACCACTTCCAAGATACCGCGTAAGGCTTCACCTGTATTCGCGGCCCTGCCCCATTCTCTGTCTCTGCCCACCTGCCTTTCCCACGTGGACCAGGGAACCTAGGCCGGACTCGGCTTCGAGACAGCTTCCTCCACGTGGGCCAAACGAGCTCTGTGCATATCCCCCTCGGCGCCTGCGCGGGGCGGGACGCCCCGGGTTAAGGGCAGCGGGGGCGTGCCCCGCGTGACCTCCGGCTCTCGCGTGACCCTACCCCACCCGCAGAGGCTCCTACCTGCTCAACCGCACGCAATGGAACTTGTGCGTGGAGCCGCCCGATGTGGTCCTCTGGAACGTGACGCTCTTCTCGCTGCTCGTGGCCGCATCGTGCCTGGAGATCTTGCTCTGTGGGGTGCAGCTGGTGAACGCGTCCATTGGTGTCCTCTGTGGCGATTGCAGGAAGAAGCAGGTGGGACGGTGTGGGATGGGGCTGGCAAGGAAACCTATTTGCTCCCTGGCTGTGTCCGGTCCTCACTTTGTCTTTTCTGCAGGGCTCCTCTCAGTGAGGCTCCATCCACCTGGTCCGTGGCTCCTGGATACCCACCTGGCCCGCCCCCACCCTGGAATAAACTATTTAGAGTATTTAGAGTTCTCTTCTGCGTCTCAGACTGTGCCCTTATACAAGGAGTGTCTGAAGGCCTCCAGGTACACCGTTGTTTGGGGCTCTTACACCTTGCTTACTATTTTCTTAATAAATAGTTACTGAGCTGTTGGTGCGATGAAAGTACTGTATAAACAAGACAGGCAAGTTCTGTGCTCTTAAAGAATTTAACATTCCAGGGGTTAGAAGATGGGCAGTTTTTAAAAGAGATGGTAGATTATTTCAGTTGGTTGTAAGCACTTTTTAAAAACACGGAGGTAATGGGGATAGGTATTGACTGACGCATGACCTTTTTCATAAGACAAAGTCCAAGAAAGAAAAATTGGACCTGAAATCTGGTGGATGGGCTAATCTTCTGGACTGTTGGGAGAGTCCAGGCAGAGAGGGCAGCAAGGACAAGGACACTTAATAGGACTCAATATACAGAAAAGCCACTGTTTGAGTTTTGTAGGGGGAAGAAAAGGAAACATATGGAAACGGCAGGCTTCCCAGGTGGCTCAGTGGTAAAAAATCTGCCTGCCAAAGCAGTTGTGGGATCTATCCCTGGATTGGAAAGATCTCCTGGAGGAGGAAATGGCCACCCACTCCAGTATTCTCCCCTGGACAGAGGAGCCTGGCAGGCTACAACCCATGGGGTCATAGAGTCAGACTCCACTGAGTGACCAAGCGGGGACACATGGAAAAGACATGTTAGTCTCCTAAGTTCTAGAAGGTGAAACCTTAAGACAATATAGCAAAACAAAAAAAACAATATAGCATTGTCACTTAATTTGGGGTCAGTGGTGGTTCAGAAAGGAAACAACCTGGGCTCTTAATAGGATGACATGTTTGCAGAGGCTGTCAGAAAAGCAAGGACTTCCTCAACCTGTAAGCAAAATCTGTTTAACTGCATGTGTTTCTTTTTTTTCCCCTGAACTATGGATCGGTAACTTTCAGTAGCTTGCCCTAGACTTCTGAGTGTGCTTAGTCGCTCATTCATGTCTGGCTCTTTTCGACCCTATGGACTGTAGCCCACCAGGCTCCTCTGTCCATGGGAATTCTCCAGGTAAGAATACTGGAGTGGGTTGCCATCCCCTCCTCCAGGGGATCTTCCCAACCCAGGGATGGAACCCAGGTCTCCCGCATTGCAGGCGGATTCTTTACTGTCTGAGCCAGCAGGGAAGCCCAGACTTCTGAGACTAACTCCTAATTGGGCCTGGCCCAATGCCAGCTTAAGAGGAACACGGGGCCACGAAGTTTCCCATCCCCCATCCCTAAAACAAGCCAGACCAAAGCCAAGACAGAGAAGCTTTAATAGCAGAGGTGGGATGAGGCTTGGGGCTGGGAGGGGACGGCGATGGTATCAATTGAGGCAGCAGAGAAAGCGCGCGTCGTTGATGGCGGTGTCGTCGCGGAGGCCTTGAGGTTGCTCGATCTTGGTCTGCAAGCCGCATATGCCTTTAGGACAAGACTCACTCCAGTCTCCGAAGTCTCCCCAGGTCAGGCCCGGCCCCTGCAGCTCCGTGCCGTCGGAGCAGAGGAAGCGCACGTTGTTCGCAGCTGTGTTGTCCCCGAAGGTCACGGGTGCCTCCACGCGAAGCGAGAAAGCCACCAGGAAGCCGCCGACGGGACACCACAGCGACTCACTCCACCTTCCCCACCTGCGGGGGAAGCGTAGACGCACTGGTTCCGCGGCGCCCCCTACCCACCTCCAGCCCGACCCAGGCCTCAGGGGCTACCCCGCCAGGTGCTCAGTCACCTGACCTCCACCGAGATGCGAGGGGGGTGGGGTGGGAGGGGGCGGTCTCCCACCCGCTTCCCACGTCTAAACCTCCTGGAGGAACCTGCTCGTCGGAATGGGAGGGGATGTGTGTAACCGAGGGTAACGGGCATACCCCGACCCTAGGGGATCCTCGGCCCCTAACCCCACCTTCCAGACTGGGACTCCACCACGTGCGCGTTGAGATCCACTTGCCCGCGCGTGCAGTGCAGCCGGATCCCGTTCAGGGCCGTGTCGTCGCCAGGAATGCCTTGCCGAGGCTCCACCTGGGCGACCGACGACGAATCAGAAGACTGCCACCCTCGGCTCTGGGGTCCCCTCTGAGACCGAGGCATGAGTCCCTACCTTGAGCGAGAACCCACTGGCGAAGAATCCGTCAGCACACATCTCAGGCCAGGCCCAGTCGCCCCAGGGGGCCCCGTTGGTCACCTCGATGACTGACATGTAGCCATCTGCTCCTGCGTACCCCAAGCAAGTGGCCCACAGTAGCAGCAGCAGCAGAGGCAGCTTGGCTCCTGCTCCTAGCTCCATCCCGCAGCCTTCGAGAGCCCAGGCTCCTTAGCAGGCTTAAAAGCAACCTTTCCTTTTAAGAGGGCTCGGGTTGCGGAAGGGCCACCCGGATTAAGTGAAATTCAAAACTAATCCGGTCCAGTCTGGAAGCCTACAGATTTGACTCTCAGCCCAGCTCCGGAGGAGGAGGGGCAGCAAGAATCCACGAGTTTGAAAAACCACCCACTTAACACAACGTCAAAAAACTTTAAACCAAGAATCATGGTTCGCATTTTGCAGGCATATTTTATTTAATCCACAAAACAATTTTAGGCGGTGGAAATTACCCTTCCTATTCTGCAGATGAGGGAACTGGGGCTGCAAAATGGCAATTTGCCTAAGGTCACAGGCAGCAAACCAGGGAACGTTCCAGCATTGGGAAATGGGGAACCCAAGGCTAGGGATGGAAGTGATGGTTCCAGAATCCCAGGGGACAGGGACCCCAGGGACCTCCAGGATGTGAGAGAGCATCAGAGTGAGACAGGGTAAGAAAGAATCCATGGACTATGGGAGCTAGGAAGCATCGTGTGAGTGGTAGGAGTCCTGACTCCTTGAGAATCTGGGACACCTCTCTCCCTCAAAAGAAACTGTACACAGAGACAGGGAAGAAGTCTAATAAGTTTAGGGATAGGTGACTGAGAACAGAGAGGCTATTTATTCCATTTCTTCCTCTATCCTTTTCCTCAATGTTTTCCCCCTATGACCACAAGGGGGACTCCTAATTCGAAAAAACAGACCAAAAAAAAAAAAAAAGACAAAAACAAAACTGCTCAGGTTTGTTGTGGGGAGTAGTGAAAAATGAAAGAAAGTGAAGTCACTCAGTCGTGTCCGACTCTTCGGGACCCCATAGACTGTCGCCTTCCAGGCTCCTCGATCCATGGGATTTTCCAGGCAAAAGTACTGGAGTGGGTTGCCATTTCCTTCTACAGGGGATCTTCCTGACCCAGGGATTGAACCCAGGTCTCCTGCACTGCAGGCAGATGCAGTACAGTCTAAGTCACCAGTGGGGAGTAGTACCAACCCTCATTGGCCTGCCCCTCACACACATTCCTGTGCTTTATTCAATACATACTTATTTAGAAACAATGTGTTGTCTCTCAGGTAATATTCTAAATGCTGTAAATAGAGTGAAATAAAGTGAAGTTGCTCAGTTGTGTCCGACTCTTTGCCACCCCATGGACTGTAGCCTACCAGGCTCCTCCCATGGGATTTTGCAGGCAAGAGCACTGGAGTGGGCTGCCATTTTCTTCTCCAGAGGATCTTCCCCACCCAGGGATCGAACCCTGGTCTCCCGCATTGTAGGCAGACGCTTTACCATCTGAGTCACCAGGGAAGTGTAGCAAACATGAAAAGGCTCCTGTCTTCATCAGAGCTCACATCCCAGTTGGAGAGACAGATGATAAATTCTTCAATGTACCTGGAGCTCTGTAGAGGCACATTTCTATTCCTGGGGCCTAGTACAGGGTCTGGCATATGGAGGTATTTATAAAGGTTGGTTTGACTGAGGAATCATTTTGGAGGTTTAAAGAATTAAACAAATGTAAAAGGAGACAGCCTAAAGCATATAATTGAGACATCAGGATTCCAGTTCAAGACAAGGTCTCCTGAGGATAGGATGGGGCTTCCCAGGTGGTGCTAGTGGTAAAGAACCTGCCTGCCAATGCAGAAGACACAAGAGATGCAGGTTCAGTCTGGGGGTTGGGAAGATCCCCTGGAGGAGGGCCTGGCAACCCACTCCAATATTCTTGCCTGGAGAATCCCCATGGACAGAGGAGCCTGGTGGGCTACAGTCCATCACGTCACAAAGAGCCAGACAAGACTGAAGTGACTTAGCACACATGCACAAGGATAGGATAAGTTAGAAGTGGGTGTTTCCTGGGTCTCAGGTCCCCCACGCTTGAACTTAAGAAGTAAGATTTATGGAGCAATTATGGCAAGCTTTTCTATTTACAGTGTTTGCACATATGATATCATCTAATCCTCACATGAGGCCTTGCAAAAGAACCTATTATTATCCTCAATTTACAGTGGAGGAACTCAAGGCCAGAGTCAGCTTGAGGCCCACTATTGTTCCGTGGGGGACCTGCTTTTGACCTCAGCCTCTCTTCACAGTACCCAGGCTGCCTCTTACTACCATCCAGCCTTCAGGGAAGGAAAATGTAAGAGACGTGTCACTGCTACCGAATCCCCTAAATTCTCTTCATTCCAGTCCCTCACCCCTCTGATGCTGCCCTCTGGGGCAAAGGGCACAGGGGAAGGGGCCTCGGTAGGTTAATTATTAACTCTTTGCACCTCAGGCACTGCGGCTTCTTTCCCCTCCCGGAGGCGGAGGGACAAAGCCGGGCTAGCGGCTGGCAAGGGGGCGGTGGTCCCTGCTGCAGCCATGGGGGTCGCACTGCCGCGGCAGATACCGCGGCGCTGGCTGCACAGCGCAATTCCTCTTGCTGTCTTCGCGCTACTGCTTGTTTATCTCTGGGCTCGGAACCTTCGTGAGTAGCCCGTTCTCTGACCTGCTCTGGGAGGAACCGGGGAATCCAGGCCCTGGGGACCTAAGGCCTCACCTCAGGCCCTCACCGCTCTGTCCCGCCTCCCCCTCTCAGGCTGCGGATCTGGGACGCAGTCCTGCATGGCGGAGGGGCCGCCGCCTTTCCAGGTACGCTACCGGCAGGGCTGGAACTGGGAGCTCCTGACAGGGTCCCGAGCAGGGGAAAGTGGGCCAGTCTGAGGATCTGATGAAGGGCAGGCCCTCCTCCTACTCTCCCCTCTCCCGTCAGAAGCTGAGAGTCCAGCCAGAGGAACACCAGCTAGATCTAAAGAATAATTTCTTCAGAGCTCAACTGGGCTGCCTGGCGAGGCCAGCGAGCTAGGGGTTCTGCTCCCATCTCGATGCCCTCAAATCTAACCTGCAGGTCCAGCAACAGTCGGGACCCCTGGAGGGCCCCGAATGGGAAGAGCCTCAGTGTCTGGGCCCCCAGGGGATGCTGGGCCGTATGATGAGGCCGTTCCGCGCCAGTCTGAACCCGGAAGGGGACGTGGAATTGTCACTGTACCTGGCAGGATGGAGGGAGTTAGTCAGGTGAGTGATCTTTCTCCTCCCATCCAGTCCCCGCCTCTTGGTGGCTCCGTCGCCCTCTCTCAAACCTTCCTACCCTTCCCACCATCACACACACACAGGTTCCTAACTCCCCTCGGCTCCATCTTCGCCTTCGCCACAAGCGAGGCCTCCGCCAAAGTGACAGACCTCGAAGCCTTGGTGCACGGCCCAGAGGCCGCGCACTACACGTCCCTGGGGACGATGGTGGCGTGGGAGCGGCCCGAGATGGCCCCACCGCCCTCGGCCGAGGCTTCGGGCTCGGTAACCATGCTCTTGCTGCACCGTGCGCTACGCTGGTCCCAGCTCTGCCTCCACCGGGTGGCGACCGGGATGCTCGGAGGCCCGGACGCCGGCGTTCAGTGCAGCGACGCTTATGGTACAGCTCTGGCCCCTCATCACTCCTGGTTCGTCCGTCAGGCTGCCCACCTCGCATTCCTCGCTTTCCCGGGTCGCGGCCGCTTACTCGAGCTGATGTGTCCCGGAGCCAGAGAGACGGAGGCGAGGGCCGCGCTGGCCCGGGCCGCGAGCACCCTGAAGGACGTCTACAACCGTACCCAGGGATTATTGGCCGAGCGCGGCTTGCTCGAGCTGGCCTGATGCCTGCTGGCGAAAGGAAGGACTCACACCGGGAAGGCGTCGGTACAGCTGGGGTTGAGCCCTAGGCTGGCCTCTCGGCGCCAGGGGCGTGGTCACCACATACTCCGCCTCCGTGGTGACGTCACCAACCCGGCGTGGGTAGGGTTTTAACACCTTCCGCTATCTGCAATCTCCCGGAGGAGGGAGAACAGTGGGGAATAAAAACAGTGGGGCTATTCTCTGATAGCCGCCGACTTAGGGCGTTTTGTGCGATGATGGCAGGCGCTTAAGGGAAATAGGAAAAATAGATGCGGGAAGATGAAGATGTGTTATTCCTATTTCTCGCCGCCGAGAGACTCGCTACCCTTGACCTGTCTCAGTCATTCTTACAGCTTCACTTGTCCACTACATGCCACGTCTCCAGTCCAGACCTGTCCCCTGAGCTCCAGCCCGCATAAAGCCAACTCTTGCCCAGATATCTCCATAGACACCGCAAATGCAACACATCCTACACGGATCCAGTCACCTTCTCCCAGAACCGCACCTCTTATGTTTCCTTTCTCAATAAATGACACCCTTTCCCGTCAGCTACCCAAGGCTAAAACCTGTGCGTCTTGATTCACGTCAAGCAGGCGCCAGCTCAGTAATGTTCGTTTGTGGACTCCAGTGAACAAAGTTATACACTGATAACTCCCAAATTATAACTCCAACCCACTTTCCCCTGGATTCCAGAATACTATGTATACTCGTCCTTATTCCACATCTCCATGTGGATTTCAACTAGACATAGCAAACTTAACAAGTCCAAAACGGAGCTTCCGATATCCTCTCCTCCTAAAATGCTCCATAGTCCTCACTACCTCAGTAAATGACAATTCCATTCTGCTACATCCTTAAGCTAAAAAACCTTATGGTCATCCAGACTCTGGTTTGTTTTATCATACCCACCTCCAATCCGTCAAATTCTATTTCTTACTATCTTCACTTCTAGGACTTCCCTTGTGGCTCAGACGGTAAAGCGTCTGCCTACAATGTGGGAGACCCAGGTTTGATCCCTGGGTCGGGAAGATCCCCTGGAGAAGGAAATGGCAACCCACTCCAGTACTCTTGCCTGGAAAATCCCATGGACAGAAGAGTGTGGTAGGCTACAGTCCATGGGGTCGCAAAGAGTTGGACACGACTGAGCGACTTCACTTCATCTCCACTGCTACCCACCTATCAAGTCACTTTTATCTATCACTTGGATTGTTGCAATCGCCTTCTGTTTCTCTCTCCCATACTTTGCTTCCCTATGGCATATTTTCAATAGAGTAGCCACAGTGATCTTTAAAATGTAGAGCATATCATGTCACTTCCCTGCTCAACATTTTCCAGTGGTTTCCTATTGCACTTAGATTAAAACTTTTAAAAACTTAAGCAGAAGATTTTCTGGATCATATCTTCAGTTGAGAAGGATGAAAACTTCCTCAAAAGTCCTCTGTGATCTGATTGCACTAGCCAAACTGACCTCCTCAGTATCTATTGAATGTGTCAGGCAGGGGCTTCCCTGGTGGCTCAGTGGTAAAGAATCTGCCTACCAGTGTAGGATTCTCGGGTTCAATCCCTGGGCTGGTAAGATCCTCTGGAGAAGGAAATGGCAACCCATTCCAGTAGTCTTGCCTGGGAAATCCCATGGACAGAGGAGCCTGGCATGCTGTAGTCCTTGGGGGTCGCAAAAGTCAGATACAACTTAGCGACTAAACAACAACAACAATATGTCAGGCAAGATCCTGCCTCAGGACCATTGTACTTGCTCTTCTCTCTGTCCAGAATGCTCTTCTCCAATATATACAAATGACTTCCCTCCTTTCTTTTGGTCTTTATTTACATGTCTCCTGAGTGAAACCTGCCTTGATTATTCTTTCTAAAATTTCAACACACACACACACTTCCTATCTCCCTTCCTTGCTTTGTTTTTCTTCTTAGTATAGTTCACTATCTAACATACTATATATTGTACTTTTTTTTGTCTCCCCCCATAGAAAGTTTCATAGGGCTAGGAATTTATCTACTTTGTTCCCGGATATACTTTCAGTGCCTCAAATGTTGTCTGGCATCTAGCAGACATTCAACAGCTCTTTGATGAATGAATGTATGAAGAAGCACTAAAAATAGTCCAGATGATTGCAGTCAAGAGTGTCAAAAAGAAAAGAGGGGATAGCACAACAATATAAATGTACTTAATGCTATTGAATTGTACACCAAAAATGGTTAAAATGCTAAATTTTGTATTATTTATATTTTACTACAACAAAAAATATTAAAAGAGGAGATGTGATTACAGTCAGGTGGGCAGGAGCAAGTTCACAAAGGCCCTTATAAGCTATTATAGAGATGGGAGACTGTATCTTGAGAGTTAATTTTAAGCGAGGGTGTGTCAGGGTCATATTTTCAATTCAAACCCCAGCTCCAGCTGAATTATGTAGAAATAGTATGGCAAATTCATAGGAGGACCACTCCACACAATAACAGTCAAATATATATTCTTCTCAAGCACACATGCAACCCCAGAGTAGACCATAGACTAGGCTGCAAGAGTCTCAAAATATTTTTAAAGGTTGAAGCCACAAAATCTTCTCCAACTAAGCTGAAATGGAATTAGAAATCAATAGTAAAAGGAAATTAGAAAAATTCACAAATATGTGGAAAGTAAAAAAGCATACTTTTAACCAAACACTAGGGCACAGAAGAAATCAGGAAAATACTTTTTCTCCCCCACTCCAAGAAAAATACTTTGAGACTAGGGCAAGTGAAAACAAAGCACGCCAAAACTTGGGATGTAGCATAAAAAGTGCTCAGAAGAAAATGTGTAGGTATATATACCTATGTTAAAAATGAAGGGGGAAAATGAAGGGGACTTCCCTGGTGGTCCAGTGGCTAAGAGTCTGTGCTTGCAGTGCCCGGGGCGGGGGGGGGGGGGGGGGGGGGGGGGGCGGGGGCTGGTTTCCATCCCTAATCAGGGAACAAGATCCTGCATGCCACAACTAAGACCCAGTGCAGCCAAATTACCAGTAAATAGCACAGGGAAGTATCCTTAATATCTTGTAATAGTCTATGATGGAAATATATATATATATAATTACTTTGCTATACACCCGAAACTAAAACAATATTGTAAATCAACTATACTTCAATTTTTTTTTTAGTCTTTTAAATTATTTATTTTTCCATATTTATATTTTTAAATAAATGCATATATTGAATCTTAAGCTCTTTCTGGCCAAAGATTGGGTCCTAGGAAGACCAGTCTTGCACGCCTGTCCTTGCAAGGCTCTTGTTAGCACAGGCTGTCCCTGTGAGGGGGCAGCTCAGCCTCACCGGGCCCCGCCCCACGTTTGCGTCTGTACCCATGCTCGGCCCCAGGTAAGTGTTCTCCACAGATCCTGCTGAGTGATGTTAAGTCAGTTCCAACCAATTCTGTATCCAGCTTTCATTAGCTTCAGCTTCCAAGACGTGTCTCCATTTTAAAGCGACACACACCCAGTCTTTTGATAGAAATTCAGGAAATTCCGTGAATGAGAATGCGTGGCCTATCCCATCTGATTTCTGGAAATTCTTCAGACTGGATGTATAAAATTTTGATGAAAAAATGTACCATTGAGCTTTGAATCAATTAACAGGAAGTCTCCTGTTATACAGATTTTTCTGGTAACAGGGGTCACGATGAGTAGGGTTTTACCGATTCTTTCTTGGTATCTTCTCTGACACAAATCATGGAGAAATTAGTGACACTGATGTGAATTCGTTTCGCTTGAGACTGAGCTTCCTTAAAATGCTAAACAAAAAGTTACTACATGACTCAGCAATTTCATTCCTACTATATACTCCTAGGTATATAACTAAGAGAAATGAAAACACAGTGCGGCCACTCTAAACCGGAGATGCACAAGTCTATGATGAAGGTTCTTTGATCCGCAATTCCAATCAGATTTATCAGTCCCGCCCGAACCAGGAGGAAAGTAGTCTTTCCACACGGTTTGCGGGTTTTTCTGTTGAGCTTTTTTTGGTTTGTTTGCCAGCCACGCTGCCATCAAGCGCTCCCTGTCGCAAAAGAACTTCCCCTGTGCATTTCTTTTCCCTTCTGCCGTCAACCAGAAGTCCTCAGAGCACGACTTAAGAGCGTGACAGAGCGCTTTACGACAGTTGCTTTGCGGCAATACCGGAGGAGGAAGATGGCGGCCACCTTAGTAGCAGCTGGGGGAACCAGGCCGGCACCAGCTTGGGGGCCTGAGGCTATTGCCCCCGACTGGGAGAACCGGGAAGTTTCCACAGGGGTAAGGAAGAACTCGGGATTCAGGAGATATGCGCAAGGCTTGAAGAGATAGAAGGATAACCCTGGAGTGGGCTGGGAGAACTGAAGGGGCGGGAGGAGAGAGGTGGTCTGTGCGATGCGCCCAGGCAGGGGGAAAGGTATCCTAAGGATGCAGGAGTGATGCGGTGAGAGGTGGAAGATAGGCTGAAGCGTGGGATTCTGGAATCTTGCAGGACGAAAGCTTAAGGCCAGGGTGCCTTTGGGAATTTGAGGATTGGAATTATGATACCCAGTGGGGTATTGAGACGCCCCTCCCCCCGCCCATGAGATTTGATGACGGTTTGGTAGCGCACGACTGAACTCGTACTTTGGGGACTGGATAGACGGATCATTGAGGTTTGTGTGTGCTGGAGAATATGGAGAGTCCGACTCACCCCTTTATCCTTTTTCCCAGACCACTATCATGGCTGTGCAATTTGATGGGGGCGTGGTTCTAGGAGCCGACTCCAGAACAACCACTGGGTGAGCTCAGGACAGCTATGTGAAAGATCTTCTTCCCATCTTTCCCTTCCTTCCTTCCTTGCCTGCCAGCCCATCCTTACCCTCCTTGGGCTGCTGTGGGAACGGAGATTTCTCACCTCCCCGGAGATCAGGATTTGTTCCATCTTTTACTACTTTGTAATTCTCTCAACCTTTTGGTGAAATTCTTGCAAAAGTTTGTTTTCCAGCC